GCGCTTCTATATTTCTTACAAATAGAACTAAGCCATTTCCAACAATTGTAAGATATTGTAAACCCACAAGCAACAGGGATTCTACTAAATAATGGACAAACTGATCGACTTGCATCCATCAAAAGTGCATTTTTTTGAGCGTTTTGCAGCTCTCGCCAAACGCTGTCCACTTGTTTGTCACTTAATTCTTTTTTGAACAGCACAGGTGATTATATCTTCCTGCCTCTGCCCTCTGCGATGTCGCTTTCTTTGTAAGTAAATAGCTCCAGACAGCTGAGGACTGCAATAATAGCCCGTAGTGAGTTTTAATTTCATGTTGGCAAATTCGTTTTGTCAGAGTGGGCGTAACGTTTTCAGCGTGATGGACGTCTTATTCCGGAGCTTAAGTGTTCACATGTACCGAAACCCTCCACAAGCACTGATAGGGGAAGGATATTAATCATCCTGTTCATTATGTTGTTAAAGCGACACCCTACGCCGGGTCAGAGTTTACGCTGGAAGGATTTTAACACTGCTATTTCTACCACCAGAGGCTGGTCGCGCCTTTTTTCTGGACGCTTTAACTTCTCGTTGCAGCTTGTTGATTTCATCCTACGTTTACACTCAGAGCTGTAATGTCAGTGCAGCGTTTTGTAAACGTGATTTGTTGCGTCCTGCAGAGGTTTCGGCCCGCGAGTGCTCATCTCAGAAGAATTACGGGAGCCGATGTGCTGTTTTTTGGGCACGTTTTTAAACTGTATGTCACCCAATGAGGCCCCTGTCATAGTTTGACCTATTTAACAGCCTATGAAATGGGGCCAGCCTTTGATTCTTCACTATTCCCACACCATATAGAGATAAAAAAGCATGCGCTCGAGTGAGGCTCCGACCGCTGAAACATGTCCAGGATTAAGTAGAAAATAGTTGCACTCTCCGCTCTCAATTTGCTGTAAATGTCACGACAATTAGAGGAAAACTGTGCGACTCTCCGCTCACCTCTGGATCTATTTTCCTTCAGCTGCACCTCGCAAAACATTTACTGAGGCGGCGAGGAATGCCGGAATTTCTGATAAATGTCAATATTTAATGTTCTCGTGCTCGTGTGGGTTTATTATCACTACAACTCCTCCGGCAGCACTAGTTTAAGAGGAGGGAGATTATGAGACACAAGAGGCCAGACCTATCTGTCCGTATGCCATGCTGATGAGGCGTTCATTGACCAGCTTGTCCGTCTTGGGGTTTCTCGGCTGTCGCTTCATGATGTCGCTTTCCGCCGTCTCGTAAGCTAATGAGATGGCAGGAACCTGGAGGGGAAATGGCAGCGGCAGAAACAGGAATGAGCTCACTTTCAGCACCCCGTGCAATAAATGTGCGGGGATTTGTCTTGGTGGCATGGCTACAAAAGGCAGGATGGCAGGGAAGACGAGACGTATCGCTATAAACGCCATCGTTCAATCGCCGAGCGGAGGGAGACAAGACAGAAAAAGGGCAAGGACAGGGTAAAAGGAAAAAAAAAACACGGAAAGAAAAAGACGCAACGACAGTGACAAAGAGAGGGGAGGGAAAGCAGACGAGGGCAGAGAGAGGGATGGCACATTTCAAGACATTCATAAAGTAGGAGGGTAGAAAGGTCCCTGTAATAAAGATTTTATATTGGCTGGTCTTAGCAGGTAAGCAACAGAGCAATATGTGTGACTTAGGGAAGGAAATCTCGGGGACTTATGTGGGATTTGAGGTGGGGACTTGGCGCTGTGTGAAGCTGAGCACATGCTCTGCGGTGTACAAATCCAGTTTGTTTTGGTGTTACGCTCCTCTGACCCACAGCAATGCAGAATGATGATGGTGTGGATACAGTGGGGCTCGGGTCGGTCGCCTTTTTTGTGTTTTTTTTTTTTCTTTTCTTGCACTTCTCAAAGAAAGTGTGATTGTTTTCAGTATCTTAATCCCAGTCTTGAAGCATCCGTAAGTGTGCCACATCCTGCTTTGATAAACATCTTTTGCAGCCATCCCTTTTTCCACATGCTCGCTAAAAATAATCACAGCAGACTCCAAGTGCCAGTTGTCACTGCTAAATCTCAGCAGAGCCCTCGAGCCTGTAGCCAGGAGTTGAACTAAGCTGTTAACAAGCTGTTAACAGCCTCACCAGGAGACGGGGAGGGGGGAAATTTGTAATTTTCACTTGTGTACTACACTATAAAGACTTCCCTGGTACTTTTTTTTTTTTTTTTTTTGTTCCTGAATATTTAGATATTTTTCATTTTGGAGTCCTACTCTTCAAAGCAAACATCCAGCTGCTCGCTCCACCAGCGGTTCTTAAATACATGCAGACGTGTTACTTTGAAGGGTAGGCGCTTTTTTTTTTAATTTTTTTATGCAAAACAAGTGCACAAATTAGGTGCTTTTATACTTCAATCATCTCGTTCTTTAAAAGAGAAATCCTACCAACGCAGAATCTCAGACAGTTAAGTAAATATTTGTCAACAGGAACAATCTGTCCTGCTGCTAAGGAACCAAAGAAGTTCAATTTGGATGTCACCTAAAATAAGCGGCGCCGCTTTATTAACGAGGTGAACAAGCTGCTCCTCTTTATCTTTAACCTGCAGTCACCTACGAGACCATTATAATACATGCACCTCATTACTCGCAGAACTTTTTGCTTTTGGCTCTCCGGCTGTACGAGAACCTGTTTCAGGTTCACACTAATGGCAGAAAGCAGAAGAAATTAAAGTTAAAGTAATGAACACAATCGAACAAGTCCTTCTGAATATATTCATCCTGTGATTCCTTTCTTTTGTAATGATGGATTACGCCCCTCAGGCAAGCGGCGTGCCAGCAACTCTTTTTGTTGCTGCTGGAAAATACAAAGGAGAGACTGGCATCTGAAAATGGCAGCGCTGTGAAATGTAAATCTGTATGTGAGTGTCACCCGCTCTTTGTTCTGCTTGAACAAATGGACGTCGGCAGTGAGCCAAAAAGCGAATTTTTCTGCCACCAACGGGAGGAACAAATTAAACCAAACATTTGTTCTTTTTTTTTTTCTTTTTTCTTTCCTACCTTTGGGCGCTCGTATTTGACACGAGAATTAACACTACATTCCTGAACGTCACCTTTAGCTCGCCTCTAGCTATGCAACATGCCAAAAATTAGCCCCCCCTTTTTTAACGAGAAAAAAAATTAACCAACAATTAGCTGCGCACGTGGTGAGATCTCTACAATAGATAAAGCGGAAGCATTGTGTTGTGTGTTTGGGAGCTGTAAAAACAACAAGTAAGGCTGGCTTGTTGTTTTCTCACCATGTCAGTTCCCAGGTCAATGCAGAGGATGGTGACGGTTCCCAGAGGAAGAGGAACGCTGGCGATGATGAAGAGGAGGAAGGGCGAGATCTCCGGGATGTTGCTGGTTAATGTGTATGCGATGGATTTCTTCAAGTTGTCGAAGATGAGGCGACCTGCGGCGATCAAAGACAGAAAAAAAAACACTTGTAAGCAGAGAATGTGCACATGCTGATGTATTAATATTAATAACATGAACATCAGCATGTGTACGTAGATGCTGCGTGGGTTACTGTTTACATACATTGTTTTTATATAGTGTTTTACGTGGTTCATCAAAGGTCGAGTGCATTTTCCATCGACTCTGACAGCTTCATCAGCATATCCACATTGCAAGCGTGTTTTTTTTCCTCAAACCATATTTGCTACTTAAATTAAATAACAGTCTCTTAAGGCAAGTTAAACAACACGTCTGTCAGAGGAACTCAAGTCTTCATGTGCAAATTGTAGGTCAGAATGGAAGTCTGTCGGTCTCTGAATGCCGACAGCTACAAGTACACAACACTTTTCCTTTAAAAGCCCTGTTAATAGAGACCTCTGAGTGCCAGGCCCGCTTAGTGTTATCTCTCTTTCTTTTTTTCTTTTTTCTTTTTTGGCTAATACCAGTTTTCCCCTTTCAAGTCAACTTAAGTCTTTAGGAAGCCGGGTCTCATATAAGTCATTTGTTGACGTCCTCATTCTGGTGACTTATGTGTGATTCTCGTGAGGAGTCTTACAGCTTTTGTTAAACACCGTGTGAAATCAACCAGAATTATACATAAAATGTTCATTCTTGTCGTCTCCAGAGCTTTTCTGATAGGTTTTTTTTCAATCCTTTGTTACTGGCACACTTTTTTTTTGTTGTTGCTGTTGTCCCCTCCCTTCTTTTTGTTTCCTTTTTTTACCATCACATCATTTTCACTACACTCACCCTCCTCCACTCCAGTGACGATGGAGGCAAAGTTGTCGTCCAACAGGATCATGTCAGCCGCCTGCTTGGACACATCGGAGCCGGCTATCCCCATGGCAACGCCGATGTCGGCTTTCTTCAGCGCCGGAGAGTCATTGACGCCGTCGCCCGTCACTGCCACGATCGCCCCCTTGTACCCGCAAGGACCGGAGAACCGGAGAACAAAAAGTGTCAAGAGGAGAAAGATAAGTGCCATGATTTAAGCTTTTTTTTTTTTTTTTTTTTTCCCTCCTCCTCTCCCGCTTCCCTCTCTCTTTTTTCCCCTCCCCTTCTGTCTTAATAATGTCTTTTCAAAGCAGCTCTGGGGAGATTAAATGAAAAATGGAATTGAGTTGCAATCATTCAGTCGCACGGAGTGAGAGTGAGTGAGTCGGGGTGAATTGTAGCATGACCTCAATATATGGGAACGTGTGCGGGTGCATACACACATTTAATTTCTACCTCTTGCACATAAGAACTGAGCGTCTTCTCAAGGAGTGCATATGTTGAGCCTGATATGTGGGTTTAAAATGCAGTTAATCGTATATCACACAGATGCACACCGGTATTGAAGGACACGCAAAACTCCTGGATTCGACCATTCAGCTATCTGCGCCAACAAAAAGCTCAGGTAGAGTCGCACAAGCACACACACACACACACACACCGACGCTGCATTCAGCATTAAATGGCACGGATAGACACAACACTCACATTTACACAACTTGTATTCAACCATACATTCGACACACTCGAGCATTCAACCAGACTTTATCACAAACAAGCAAATGTTTGTATCCAGCCACAAACACACACACACACACACACACACACTTCAATTCAGCCCTTAGAAAGGCCCACATTTACACAAACACAAGCTTCTGACCTGTCTCTGGCAGCCCTCCACAATGATGAGCTTCTGCTGAGGAGAGGTGCGAGCAAACACGATCTCAGTGTGGTTCCTCAGCAGGTCGTCCAGGTACTCGGCGCTCATGTCCTTCAGGTCCGAGCCGTGCACCACGCAGGCCTTGGCGTCCCTGGAAAACAACACACAGATGTACATGCACAAGGAATCGGTGAAAGGAGGCGATGACATTTTCTGGCTTTCCCTTCAAATTTGTGTTTTCTTACCGAATCCAACAACAGAAAACATATTCTGTCAAACTCAATGTCTAGAAGAGTTTGACATGTTGAGAAATACCTCCAACGTTAACAAAATCACCCTGATAGCGTCTCTAAAGCTTGTTTATTAATGTGTTATATTTCTTTTATTTGATTTGCACAAAAACCAAAGTATAAAAGCGATAATTAGTTAATTTACAGGGATTTATATGCCAGACTGTTTTGAGGCAGAACAATCTGATCACCTGGTATTTCTCGATCAAGTGTCTGCTTTTAAATGTTGTTCTGATTTTCCATATTGTGAGTTTACGATCTACTCTGTTTACACAACATGACCTGCAGGAATCTCTCTTCTACAACTCATGAGGTTTGTTTCTTTTTGATCTGAACTAAATGAGTTTTTCCCGAAAACATCAAAGGTCTTTAGAGGTGCTGCTACAGAAATGGCATCTTTGAACACCCAATTTCAAACAATTTACCGTAATTTTACAGATTCTGTTTTGTTAAATTATGGACAACAACTGGTAAATACATAGAATAAAGTATTAATTTCCACATTAACCTTAAATCAAACAGACTGTAAATAATGTTGATGTCAAAAATCTGTATTTTTTTATAAATAGTATGTTCTTCTTTTCTGATATTTGGTTGTAAAATTAGATTATTTTTACTGTATTTAGCAAAAATACTGTTTTTATATAGATATATGCCATTATTTGAAAGAAAAGCTGTGTAAATTAAGAACTGAAAAATGTTTTTTAAACTGGCTTTCAAGAAGATTTTGCCTGTTTTGTTAAGTTATAGACAATAAATAGTAAAATCACAGAAAAATATATATATTACCATGTTGACTGTCGGGGAAAAGGGCCCAAAATCTGTATTCTTATAAACAGTCATTTGCTCACTTAAATGTGTAACCGTACAATTACACTGTTTTGCTGCTGTTTAAATCAGCAAAACTATCATTATTTCACAATTTTTTGCTGTAATTTAAACCATTTTCACATTTTTTGAATTCTAAAGTATTTCACGGTTTTTAATTTATTTTTTGCAATCTTGCGGTCAGATTTTTTAAGCATTTAAAAGAATTTCTTTAATTACAGTGTAGGCAGATATTGTCTTCATACTAAGCTTATGACAGCAGCACCCATCTTGTAACTCTTGATTAGACACATCAGCTGCCCCTTTAGACGCATGCACACATCGTGCAGCGCCACCGCCGACACACTCAAACACTCTCACCATCACACGAAAAATCCCTTTTGGACGCTTGAGCGCGCACACCTCCCCCGACACACACACCTGGGGTTAACTTGGCTCAGAGGGATGTTCAGTCTCTCAGCGATGTCCTCCACCGTCTCGTTGCCCTCAGAGATGATGCCCACACCTTTGGCGATGGCCTTGGCTGTGATTGGGTGGTCCCCAGTCACCATGATCACCTGACCGCAGGCAGAAGGTTCCCATAAATCAGAAAAGCTTTTTCACATTAAACCTTGTTGTATCTCATCCGTGTGTCGTGTGTCACAGCGTGTTGGGCTCCAGCAAAATCATAAGTCATCTGAATGGCTTGTGTAGTTACACTGGAAGACAATGGTGCTATTAGGGGTTAAGGGTTAAAATCTGACAGTAAAACCCAAAGACAAATCTTGGTGGGTGAGTTCCGATTGACAAATAGTGTGCGACTGAAAACGAGAGCAGCATTTGGACACTGTACTGGCTGGTAGTGATGTACAAAAGAGGATTTTTTTTAATATCCTCACCCAACCAAGCTGATACGAGCAATCCCTCCATAAAAATATGCATTGAACAACCACAACTGTGACATTTCTAACTCTATAATTTAATTTTTCCAGTTATCTTCCCCTTTCTCCCTCCAACAATTGTCCTTTTATAGCTGTTGCTAAAAGTAAATACAGCAGACTGAGTTTATTCAGGCACCGTTTCTCACAATACACGACAATATATCGGTCACTTCAAGTTACCCGACTTCAGATTATGATGCTCTAAATGTATAGTAGCAGCATTTTTCTGCTCTCCATTCAGAGTTTAGGCTACAGCAAACATCTATAGTACAGTCTGCACCTTTACAGTTTGGTAATGCAGGTTGACAGCCAGGGCGCCGTGCACTCCCCGGTGTGCATCTGAGAGGCAGAGTGAGTCACAGGAAGGTGGAAGGCGGACTAATGATTACAGCCTATTGCACGCAATGCTTCTGTAAGTTATTTATAACTTCATCAGAACTTTTGTTTGTCCCTTGTTTTTTAAATCAACCTGCCTGAACCCCTCTGAAGCTCACCCAATCCCACCCGACTCGTGGGACTTTTTGGGGGGTTTGTGTCAAACCCGTGCAAAACCGCCCATCACTGCTTCCCAAAATAATCATCCTGACACCTGCAATGAGTATAATGAGAATATACGACAAGTTTCAGGGCAGCACGTGTAATTTCCTTGAATGTTTTCTCCTTTTATTGCTTTTCAACATTGAATCATGGTCAATTCTGTTTTTGGCTTTTCTCACAAGAATTTACAAAAGAACTTCTTTTATGTCATGAAAACAAATTTCTAGAGAATAGCCTATAATATTATAAATATAAAATGTAAAACAAGTGATTGCATAAGTATTCACCGCCTCAAACGCGACTCATGTAATGTGAGACAGGTGCTGCCAGCTGGTGCCAGAGGTCACACAATTAGTGAAATGATGATCATCTGAGTGCAGTCTAACTGTCTCAAGTGATTGTAGTGTAAAGACACCTGCATCTGGAAGGTCTACTCACTGGTGAATAAGTACTCCAGACTATAACTAGACCATGAAGACAAAAGAACACTCTGAGCAATTATGAGACAAGGCTATTGAAGGCATAAGTCTGCGGATGGATACGAGATCTACGTTACTGAATATCCCTCAGAGTACAGTTAAATCCATCATTAAGAAATGGAAGGGATATGGCACACATGTGAATCTGTCCAAAGCAGGTCGTCCTCAAACACTTAATGAATGGAGGCTAGTGAGGGACGCCTGTGACTCATCTCATGGAGTTACAAGCTTCAGTGGCTGAGATTGTGCAAACAACAACTGCAGGCTGTTCTTCACCAGTCAAAGCTTTAGAGGGGAAAGAGAAAGACCCTGTTAAATAAATCTCAACTAGAGTTCACCAGAAGGCATGTGGGAGGCTGAAGTCAACTGGAAAAAAGTTTTTGGATTTGATGAGACCAAACTAGAGCTTTTTAGCCATCAGACCAGACGGCATGTTTGCCAGACATAAAGCTGCACGTCATCCCAAACACACCATCCCCCCCCACTGTGAAGCATGGTGGTGGCAGCATCATGACGTGGGCATGCTTCTCAGCAGCAGGGAAGGTTTGTAAAGGCAGCAAAGTATAGAGAAATCCTGGAGGACAACCTGATGCAGTCTGCAAGAGAAGTGCGACTTGGGAGGTTTGTTCTCCAACAAGACAATGACCTAAAACATAGAGTCAAAGACTGAAACAGTTTAAAGACAACAAGCTGAATGTTCTGGAGTGGCCCAGACTTCAATCCAACTGAGAATTTGTGGGTGGACTTGAAAGGGCTGTTTCCTCAAGATCCCCGTGTTACCTGACAGCTCTTGAGTACTTTTGCAAAAAAAAAAAAAAAGGGAATAGCATAAAATTGCAGTGTCCAGATGTGTGAGGCTGATTGAGACCCATCTACACAGAATCAACACTATAACTTCAGCCAAAGATGAATCTACTCAACTGGGTGAATACTTAGGCAATCACTTATTTTACATCATATATTTTTAATTATTTGACATTGTTTTGTAGAAATCTGATTTTGCTTTAACATGAAAAAGTTGTTTTTGTCCATTCATGTCAAAAAAAGCTAAATTATATCGTTGATTTCATCTTGAAAAGCAATGAAAGGGAAAAACTTTTAGGAAGGTGAATGCTTCTTATCGGCACTTTAGCGTTTACAATAATCAGTTATTAGTTTTGTAATCTTTCACTAAAAGCTAACTGACTTCACGTTAAAGCTCGCCTTTCATCTCATCACAGAGAACATATTGTGTAATGGATATTATTATTTTCAATTTCTCCAAGGTCACACCGTCACCAAAGCCTCAGAAACCTGCTCAGAAACTGCTGAATGCATCTTTTTTGTGTGTGTTCAAAAATAAAGTACTAAACCTAATACGCTTAAGGAGGTTGTTTGCATATGAGTAGTAATTAATAAAACACGTCTATAATTCTACTATATAGACAGTCATACAGGAACAAAGAGCCTACAGTTCAGATTTACAACCGTATCTCCGTAAAGCTCTTTTTTATTTAATCTTATTTTATCTTTTCTTATCTGGTGCACAGCCTCTGAACTTTTTATATGAAGAATAACAACAATATGGAGTGCCTTCTTGAAAATCCCCATCACCACTATAATCTCCAGCAGAACACACACACGAGCTGAATGGAAGCACATTAAAGATCAAGCAGCAGATGATTGCACACTACGCTGCACACCATATTGAAATTTTAACATCTAGTAAAAAATAATGAAAGCAACAGAGCCTTGAGTTTGGGTCTCGTCCTGAGTTCATCTGTGAGAACACACACAAGATTTTATACACCAAAACACTCCACGCAACAGCTATGAGGCGAGTTTAGACCGTACTGCAGAACTTTTCTGACCATGTTTGCCTCGCTAAGTTGGACTGTTTATTATAAATACTGCAGAAAAGAGCTATTTTAAATACTCCGAGCAGCACACAATACCAGCATATGTTTTTTCCTATAATGTAATTTCCTGTGTGCATCACGGGTCACGTCAGCAATGTAATTATACAAATATAATCTGTGGGTCCAAAGCGAATTGATGAACAGCATAAATAAACCCCCAGCTATAACTTAAATGCACAATGTTTCAGACATAGTTAATATCCCAGTGTGTCAGTCAAAACAGTGCCGATATAAGTGAAACTCTCAGAAAGTGTTTTAACATTTTATCAGACATGCCATCAGCTTTTAAACACACATCTCCACTAACTTCTGCCTCTAGTTTGGTTTTTTTTTAAGCCAATTACAGCGTGTCTCTCCAAAACTCCATTTCTCAAGGGAAGCAGGGTAACTAGTGTACCTGAAATTAAATGCGTAAAATCTCTTTCCCATATTTGTTGTCATTCCCCTAAATTAGAACGCATCATTCCGCTCATTATCCATTTTCGTCTCTGCTGGAAGTTGTTTAACCTTCCTGCGGCCTTGCTTGTTACTTGTCTGACAAAAACATCTGCTCTGTGTGTATTTGCGGTTGATTAACATATAATAAACATTTGCGATGAATCTCCTGAATCTGCAAGTGGATCCTTTTTACAATTTTGCCATCAGAAGATTTTGAGTTCATGCCTTTGTTATGCTTTCCTTTTTATCAAATCAAAAATTAAAATTTGTGATTTAACCTGAATAAAAACTAAATCTGAATTATTTTCCCAACTGACAACTATAATCCAACTAAAGTTCTTCTTCTACATGAAAAGTCTGACCCGGTTGAGCTGAGCTAAAGCGCTGAGCAAACACTGAAACTGATGGTAATGCTAACGTTATTTCAGCTTTTCTTTTCCTATCTGGGAGCGATTATGCCAAATATGCTTTTCAGCTTCATTTATCCGTCGGTCATCGTCTATCACGGCCCCTCGGAGGTGATCAGTTGTCATTTGGAATTAAATTTTGCAATTTAAAAAGACATTGGACATGCAAATCCCCCCTCTCTAAAAAAGCTCGATAAATGAAGCCCCAGGAAACGGCTTTTCAGGAAACTACAGTGAAGGTTGAATCTGTGGAACCAATTACCTTGATGCCAGCAGAGCGGCATTTACCCACTGCGTCAGGCACAGCAGCACGCGGCGGATCAATCATGGAGATGAGGCCCAGGAAGCAGAGCTGCTCGGTGGGGAAGTTCGTGTCGTCGCCGTCGAAGGTGAATCCTCGGGGGAACTGGGATGAAGACAGATTCAAGTGGCAGAAGCCTGTGAGAGGAGAGGAATCATTGAGGTGATTGTTCATAACTGACTGAAAGGCATTTCAAAGAATATTGCAGATATTGGAAAAAGAGCTCTTGATGTTTTCCTGCTTTGACATCAACTGACAGTTTCTCTGGAACAGGAAAGAGAGGACACATTCTTCATGACCCCGAGGAGGTCCAAAACATCCCAATAACGTTCCTGCTGCTGCTGCCGCCGCCGTGGATTCTGAAGTCGCTATTTACAGTAAAACACTACAAAGGAATGAATATGAAAGATGCATGAAGGCTTTTTGAAAAGCCACCTTCAGAAAAGGCATTGCCCTCTGGATGCAACCATCCTTTACCTCTCAGCGTGCATACAAATCACTTTTAATTTGAGAGGTAGATTTACAGGTTGCAGGTTTGAATTACAAATCGAATCAGTCACATTTATTAATTCATGATCCTCTCAGATACGTATCTCTTGAATCCCTACAGAGCAAAAAAACAAAATAAAACGTGTCTGATGAAAAACTCAGGCTCAGTCTAAAAGTAGAAAAAGCTTTTCCTTTTTTTTTTTTTTTGTCATGAAACACCCGACCCGTCATCATCATCACCCAAGGCATTACTGAGACTTAATAATTCACATGATTTCACTCCAAAAACGGCACCATTCCACATTCCACTGTTGTGACACCGACTCTTACAAAATGATGATAGCTCATAATTATTACCTATGGCACTTTTTAAAAGATGCCAGGTACGTTTTTTTTTTTTTTTTTCCCCCTCGGTTGTCAAAATGATGACATTTAAAGAGTCAGGATGCAGAACACTTTAGAGATACTGAAAGTTGAACTTCAATTATTATTATTTTTTACCCAAAATATGTCTATAGCATTTTACAACAGCACATGTTACTTCATTACATTATGTGCTGAATTTAACCATAATTAAATTACAACGTCTGCTGATAAATCCACAAGGGAAAACCCATATTTCTAATAGTTTTGGAACAATGGTAATTATAGCTTTGGATCCATGTCAGCTGCAATTCTGTGCAAAACTGCAGTGCCAAACTCTTCCCTCTTTTTCTTTTTTTTTTTCAGTGACAGTGTTGCAGTGACAGCATTCTACTCTTTAATGGGCACATTTGAGTAAACTACCCCGTTTGCCAAGGAGAGTATAAAAAGTAAGTGCTGTGTCCAACTGCCTCTCCTCTCCACCTATTCCCAAACAGACCGGTGGCAGCAAACGTACCGAGCACTCTTTCTCCCAGTCCGCCCAGCTCCATGTAGGCATTTTGGAAAGCGTCTCTCCAGCTTTCATCGAGTGGGTGCTCCTGGCCATGGATCATAATGGTGCTGCACCTGTAAAGCATTTAATAGTACATTTAGCTCGACTGAATGCTTAAAATAATAACTCGGTCTGTACCGCAATTGTGCTACACAAAGAGGATAAAATATGACCTCCTTCTGAATGGACGGCTTTTCCACAATCACACCTCCCGTGCTGTTCGTGTGCATAAAGAAAAATCATTTAAAGGAGCTCCATGAAAAGAGCAAAACCAGAAATGTGTTAATCTGTCTCTCCATAGTTCCCCAATTTGTCCGTGACCAGCACATCCGACAAAAATTCCGTCCCCATATGTCCATTAAATTTTTCTCAGTAATGTATTTAGTTTGTTGACAACATATCACAAATATATTTCAGATTAACACATTTTTTGACATTTATTTTATTGCTTTACTGTTGCTACTTTGCAACCAGCCAATCATATCAGACATTGGGGGACTCATACCCCTGGTAACCCTAAAAAAAAAACCCTAACCCTGGTCACATCTAAACCCAAATCACACAATTCTCCTGAACCTAACAGAGTAATTTTGGTGCCTACAATTAACCAAGCAGCTAACAAGTAGTTACCACAGTGAAAATGTCAACAGAAGTGTGATTTTTTTTAAAAAACCGTATCAAACAATGAGTGAAAATCAAAACTAGTCGAAGAATAATGGCCCAATACAGGACAGGAACCCTGGTCTCCTGGGTGAAAGTCCTGCTGCTGACTTTTTCAACCAACCTTGTACGTCTTTACATGAGGTTTGTAGCTCCTTTAAACTGTAAGCTTTTTCTTTACCAAGTCACAGTCTTACATTTCTTTCAAAACATTAATGAGAATGCAATTTAGTGAAAATGCAATTCTGAGCAGACAGGGTTGCTTCGGCGTTTGGTTTATTGGTTCCAACCACAGATGAAAATCTTTAAAAATGTCTTACAATTTTTTTAATATGTTATTTTGCCAACCTCCGTCTCCAAGAAATTACGTTTTTGTTCAACTAAACTGCAGCACCGAAAACATTTTGAAGAAAAAATAATTGTGATCTGATTACCTAAATACAGAAGCTGTCAGTAATGCCCACACAAATGTCTCTTTTCTCCCAAAACGTGTAACCTTCAGTTGAATATCCACTTATAGTGACAGCAGCATCATTACAACATTTTTTTGTTTATGTTAGCAGCATTTGGGCAAAGTTGGTAAAAGACTGTGGTTGGATGAAACCTAAAGCACACTTATTTCACCTCTTTACCCTCAACATAACATGTTTAAAGCTCATTGATTAAATCACTAAAAACTCTCTATAACTTTCTGTTGCAGGAACTTGAAGGCCGTAGAAACTCTCTCACTGCAGTTCGAGCACCTCTGACCAGCTCTAAACAAACTGTGCAGGACTTGACACTGACTCATTAAAGTCACAGAGGACATCAAGCGTCATTTTTTTTTCATGCAGTAATCTTCTCCTCTCTTGCATCACCATCAGCAATGCAAAATTTACCACAAAGCCAAACAAAATACAATTGTCTGCATGTACAAGAATCTGTGCGATATCAGTACGTTTCTACTTACAGACAAATCTGTGAAATATAAATAAAGTTGGTGCGATATTAGCATTTCTCTGTCGGTATTTCTACTCGTGACTGAATCTGTGCAATATGTGCAATGTTGTTATTTTTCACATCCAGAGGAATGAACAACCTGAATATCCACATATGGAAGAACCAGTGCTGGTGCAGATTTTAGGTTTGACATTTGACACTGACATTTCTCAAATGTCTGCACCGTCCCCTTTGCTGCTGCAACACGGCAAATGTTTACACTGTGGGACTGAAAAAGGTTCATCGTGTCATTTAACTTTGTTTCATATCGTATCGTTTGGTGTCGTTTCATTTTGTTCCGTTTTGTTTAAATTTTGTTTGTATCATTTTGTATCGTATCATATCGTATAGTTTGGTATCATTTCATTTCATTCCATTTTGTTTTGTTTGTATCATATTATATCATTTTGTATCGTATTGTTTCATTTCATTTCATTTTGTTTAAATTTTGTTTGTGTCATATTGTATCATTTTGTATTGTATCGTATCGTATAGTTTGGTATCGTTTCATTTCATTCCATTTTGTTTTGTTTCAGTTCATATCATATCGTATCATATTGTTTAATTTCATGCCATTTTGTTTAATTTTGGTTTGTATCATGTCGTATCATTTCGTATCATATCGTATTGAAGCATAACAAACACTCCGCTTTACTGTTTCCTTCATGTTCATAAAACCGGAGTTACATCCAGTAACTACAATTTGTTGTTGTATTGACTCACTCAAAGTTAACGTTGCAATCAA